TCTTTTAGCAGTAAAGATTTTGCTTGTTCTTCCCCAGGTCGCATGCTGAAGGAGTACAAAAGCATTTCCTTCTTCCAGAAGAACAGCAGCGACACCATAGACGTTATAAAGTACTATCAAGGCTGCGGCCACATCGTTCACAATGGTTTCTTTTATTATCATGCTGCTGGCACTCCCAGCATTGCCAAGTAAGCCTTAAAGCCACTCGATGCACATCAAGGTGATTTTTTCATGACTTCCACATCCTTCATTTAGCAGCTTCCTGCTTGTGTGTTCACAGATTTGACTTCAGCACCAAAAGACTTCAGACTCTCACTATTGAAAACTCTTTGTACAACAACCTCGCCTACCTGCTCCCCAACTCTAAGACCTACTTCAAGCTGGCAGCAGATGAGAACGGCCTGTGGCTGATCTTTGCATCCAATGTTGACGAGAGCATCATGGTGGCCCAGCTGGACCAGAAGACCTTCTCCGTCACATCCTACGTGAACACCACCTATCCTCGCATCAAAGCCGGCAACGCCTTCATCGCCTGTGGCGTCCTGTATGTCACCGACACCAAGGACACCAGAGTCACCTTTGCGTTTGACCTGCTGAAGGGAAAGCCGGTCAATGTGACCTTTGACCTGAGGTCTGCTGGTGAAGTGCTGGCAATGCTCTCCTACAGCCCAAAGGACAGACACCTGTATGTTTGGGACCACAGCTACGTCAGGCTGTATGTGGTCCACTTCATCTCTGATGAGTGAGAAACATGATGTGCGAACACGACTGTTACAGTAAATACTGAGAGCAAAACGCCTGCAGACTTTCATCTATTCACTGCATCTGAAAACTGATTACTCAAGAGTGACATACAGTGTGTGTGTCACTGTTTTAAGTATATTGTCCTGTGTTACTTTTGTGTTAAGTGAAATTGTAATTGACCGTCAAACTATTTCACTAAAGTAAATATGGTTTTGGTTAACAAGACGTTTGCGCTGTTGCCTCACAGCCAGAAGGTCCTGGGTTTGAATCCGCCACCTGGCCAGGGCCTTTCTGTATGGAATTTGCATGTTTCCCCCATGTAGTCCAGCTTCTTCCCACAGTCCAAAGACATCCAGTTAGTGGAGTGAGCTCAACTGGCAATTATAAATTGCCCATAGGTGTGAATGTTTGTCTGACTATCTGTTAGCCCTGCAGCGACTGCTGACCGGTCCAGGGTGTATCCGTCCTTTCGTGGAAAAAAAATGTCTGAATGGATGGATGAAGGAAGTGCTGTATTTACTGTACATGGAGTTTTCAAAGGACACAAGATTTACTAATAGTGTGAAAACTTATCATTTTGTATAAGCTGGCAGTTTATGCCAATCAAACCTATAACTCAACTTTTGTTGCCATTTGCGTTTTTGCATGGTGGTCACCACTGCTTGATTTTTATACAGATGCAACTCGTGATGTCCCTTCCCCCTCTTTCTGTACATATAGACAAACCTGCCTTTGTAAGGGAGCAGCACAGCTCTCTGGCTGAACAAGATAATAAAAATAAAAGAAAAAAGAAAAAAAAAAAGCGCCAATTCATCCTGATGAAATAAAAAGAATTTATTCACTTTACAAAGGTAAAACTGATCATGACCTGTTCTCTTACACACCTTCAGGCTCAAGTACCCTAATAGGCCTCTACTCATAATAATGGCTTCTTTTGGACTGTTTGATGTGCACGTACGCACATGAACACGTGCGCACACACAGACACACACACACGACACCAGTGGGACCATTAGGGAAACACTTAAGATGCATACAGTACACACAGAGGGCAGAAAGAGAGGGAGAGAAACACAAATCTCTTTAATAAATACCATACATACACTTAACAAAAGTTACAACTAATCCAACTGGTATGATACAAACCAAAAATAAAGAAATGCCTTCATGTTTGTACAAGGTTGTTGTGATAGTTCATATATATATATTTATATAATTTATAATAAAACTATTTCAAATGTTGTACTAGTAGGCCAAATAAAGCCAGACATTCATTTGTATATAATCGTTTCCTCTTTAATAACCTATTTATTTGAAATAAACTTTTAGTGTCTCCAGAATTTGAGTGCAAATATCTATTCCTTATGGATGAAACAGTAAAAACAACTAGTGAGGTAAACACACACTTACATACAGTAGACTGTTGCACATCTCCCAGTCAGATTACAGTAAAACCCCTTACATTCCTAAAATAAAAGGCAATAAGTTAAATAGTTTTACAAAGGAATGGTCAACCAAATGAACACAAACATAAATAACTTAAATAAGAAAATCAACTCAATTAAAAAAAAAAAAAAAGAAATCTTTGTGATAAAACCAGAAGTGAACCTTTGTGTTTCTGCTCTGGGGTGAGTGGGTGGGTGGATCTTTAGCGTTTTACCAGACAGATGGAAACACTGAAATCACAGTCACAGGAGTAAAACACACCGTCTTCCAAACAGGAATGTTCTAGCAGTGAGTCTGCCACACAAACAGGCATTTGAGGGCAGGTGGGCGCGCAGACGTACAGATGGCAGACACAGCAGAGTGAACACGCACGCAGAGGGCCAAACTGGAGCGGGCTGAACCCGAACCATTATAGGCCAAGTGAGTGATGGGCAGCCAGTGGAAAAAAAGAAGGGGGGGGGATACAGACAGGTGTCACTATCAGGAGCAAATGCACCATCAACTCTTCCACGGAGCTGAGAAAGCTGGGCAAATAAAAGGCAGGAGGGTGGGGGGCAAAAACCATTGAAACAAAATGCAGATTCCAACAACTCGATTCACACTGGAAACCACTGACTTAATAACAAACCACAGTGCTGGTTACAGTAGATGCTAAGAGATTTCAGCTGTGGGCACAAAATGACGACAGTTACACACTTTTAAAATTTTTGCTTGAGCACTTTTACAGAGCACTATCAATAGACCTGTGATTGCACCGCATAACGAGAACAGGACATGCATAGCTTCCCTATGGACACACTCTAAGAGTAGAGATTCTTCGATAAAATTACAATAAAACTAGCTTTAAAATCAAGTATGATACCGTTTGCTTGTAACTTTGTTTTCAGCCTTTGGGAAAATAAAATGTTTGCAGCTCCGTTTTTAATCGTTCTGGATACGACCGACAGTAAACTCATGAACACCGTTCATGCTGAAAGATGCCAACAGCGTGGTAATCTTTTGACTAACTCTTCCCCCAGCAGCGTTTCTATTAATGCCTACAGAGTGTTACAGAAGCATTTTGGTTTTTTCCTCCACTTTCTGACCCTTTCCTCTTAGGACCCTCAGAATTACAAAAAGCATTACAGGGCGTCAACCAAGCTGCTGGGGATATTGTAGCGGTCTGGGAGGACCCTCATCTTTAGGGTGCCGTCTGCTCCGCAGGTGAAGATTCGGTTTACGGGTCGCGTCTCCACCTGCATGACACCTGCGCCGATGTTCCGGAAGATGGACTGCTTGGCGTGCTCTGTGCTAAAAGAGTGCATGAGCCCGTGGCCGGCTAGCTTCCACACCTGGGTACGAAGGAAGAGAGAGAGAGCGAGAACAGAGTATATAATTAGTTTCTCTTCCCAGGGTTTCTGGATGGAAAAATAAAAAAGTTTGATTTAGGACCTAAAAAAAAAAAAAAAAAAAACCCCAAACAGAGCATTTTTTAAATAATGAAACTGGAGAAATTAAAAACTATCTGGCTGGAGACACCACTTGGCATTTGTGATCAATTAGCATTTTTCCATGTTGTTTCTACAAAGAGACAAATGTGCTTTAAGGATCCAGACAACCCCCCCAAAAAGGTGGTTGCTGGAGGTTGATGGCAGTAGCAGGAAAGACAAAGAGGTTGGACATAGAGTGCTAATCTGTGTTTGCTTTTGTCACTAGCAGGTTGACGAAGTTGCCGGTAGTTTGCATAACTTGACTTGTCTGTACACACTCGCCAAGCAGAAGTGAAATGATTGAAAGTCTGATGCAAACAAAAAACAAAAAACAGAGACCATCTGCACCCTTTCAAATGTGTTAGTTACAGTGATCAGGCACAAATTTTACTTTGAAGGCGAACAGCCTTAATTTCTGGTTTCCTTAAATGTTTTTACATTTCACAACATGTAGAGTAAATGGCGAGTATTTCCAGACAAGTTGGTGTCTTCCATGAAAACTACAGGTGATCACAGCAATTTTTATTAGCAAATCAACAAAGTCAGAATACAGAGAACACATTTATCAGTAATAAAAATAATTATCAAATATTTCAGGACAGTAATTTCAACCAGTACTCCATGTGATTGTGCCAAACATTAACACACTGCTGCTTTGACTGTCACTGATAAATATGAAGTCAGATTTGAATATAAAAAACATACAGTAGTCTGTGTTTTAGTTAGTTCAGCCAAAGTCATAACGAACTATTTTTAGTGACAAGAAGAACAAGGCTTCCTGCAGCAGACAGTATGGCACCCACAGAGGCTTTATCATCAAATCAGTCTGAGTTTACATTAAAAGATAAAAGAAAGAAAAAAAAAAAAGATAAAAGAATCTGAGATGATTAAAAGCAGCATGAAAGACTCACTTCTCTAAATCCTTTGCCTTTAACAGTTTCTTGTTCCTGCTTATAACATCTATAACAAGAACGCAGTCATCCCGGCAGTGCAGTGTTGACCTTTAGACCATATCACCTCTGTGTTTTAAGTCTTTGATCTCGTCACCCTGCTGTTGTCTTCCTCTGTTTAACACCCACATGTAAATCACACCCTCCACTGATTGTTGTCCTCTTGTGCACCAGTATGAATGCCGTGCTTTCCAGTGCTTCAGGGTCAGCTTAATTTTCCAGACCCACACCAGGCTGGTAAGCCCACCGTATACCGGAATACTTAATAAACAAACCACAACAGCAAAGCCTGAAAAACTAGACCTGGAATCTTAAATCCAGGGACAAAAGTGTTGTTTGAAGGCTAGAGGGCTGCACCGAATACTCCTCCAGTTTGTGGATTAAAAAAAACCAAAAAACTGTTGGAATGAATATAAAAGAATTCTCAGTAGTTTTGATGTTGAATGCTTTACACAGTGCTTAAGTTCAATAACATTCACTGACACAAAAGGATATTATTCCTCAGCACACAATGTGAGCGTGTATCAGCAAGGAAGTGAGTGAGAGAAAGAGCATGCGTCACCTTCATGTTGCCCTCTGCAGAGCCAGTGACGAAGAAGTCCTCAAAGGCATCCAATGCGAGGGCCTTGATGGCTGAATCATGGGCCTGGAAAGTGTGGAGCAGCTGCCGCTGTCGGATGTCAAACACGCACACAAAGCCTTTTCTGCCTCCAGTAATCAGCAGCTGCTGTTTAGGAGCATACTGAAGCACAGTGGCCCCGTTCTCATGGCAGGGAAAAGCTGAAGGGGGAGGTAGGAAGTAAAAGTGGAGAAACTTGAAATATAGGGAAAAAGAAACTCACTGAAACTCACTTATTAGAATAAATATGGATTTCTCACCATGCACCATAGTATTGTTAGGTGAAATCAGAGTGTCCCACAGGCAAACATTTCTATAAATAACATAAAGCAAAATATTAGGCAGCTGAAAAAAAATAAACAAAAAGAAAAAGAGCAGTGTTTGATTAGTAGTCCAAATCTGACCTGTTATCATTGGACTGCCCGGCCGTGGCGATGAGACTGGAGGATGTGATGAAAGCGAAATCCCCGCAGGTCTTAGTGTGGCATTGCCAACTCTGAGAGCAAGAACAGGAAAATAAAAGCACATTTTCATTTGAATTATACAGACCACTCATATTGTGTGTGTGCTGCGACTGTGAATGAGGAGGTGGGAGGGAACCTTACCAGGTACGGTTTGGGGTTGGACGATGTCTGGTTAACCTGCCAGAGACTGAGGAAGCCCTCTCCATCAGCGACTCCACACTACAAGAATGTTTCAGAGGAATCAGAAAAATGACATCTGATTGACATACACACAAAACACAGTTGCTACTTTGTGTGTGTACCTTATTGCCCTGGGAGTTGAAATAGAGACGGGTGACTCGAGCGTTGCCTGCTTGTCTGAAGCAAATGAGTTGCTGAGGTCTGTTCCATTCAAACATCCTCACGCTACCATCCTGAGCCCCAGTCATGTCTGATACACAGCCCCACACACACACAAACCAGGAAAAGAAAGGGAGAGAGATGGTGGGAAAAGAACAGGAATACAAAGCAGGAGAAGCTATATAATTGACTTGTACATGTTAAACATGTATACTGGTGAATCCTCTCAAAGTAGCACTCACAGTACTGATATATGGGATGGGATGTCATTCTCTTCACATTGTTTAGATTCCTCTTCATAATCTGAAAGACATCAATATAAACATACATTTATCTTGTAATTAGCTTAAATTAATTGGGCAAACAATTGAGTTAACTATCTGAAAATGTCAGGCGTGAAGATCAGCCTAGTGAGTGGTTGACGACTCCCTGAACAATAACTGTTGCCCGTTTGGGTTCCACTCTTCACAGTGTCACTACCACTTAGCGTGCATTTAGCAAGTTTTTGCAGATAAATTGGTTTTACACATTAATCAAAGGCGACCATATCAATCTGCTACCATTCAGTGCAGCGCCGATCATCAGTGGTCATCAAGCAGTCTTTAGGCATTTTTAACTGGAGCCTTGGGCTAACCTAAGCAGTAACGTGATTGGATGATGGGCTGACTGAGGCACCGTCTATGTGCGCAAGAGTTTAAATCACTTTTATCGAATCTTCTTCTCAGACACACATGACACTCGTTCAGGTGTGCGCTCGTTCAGACTTATACGTGACTATGGTAAATTACACACCAACACATCACTTCAAACATCAAGCAAATTTCTGCAGATCGCCTCAATATTCAGAGCTTCCAGCTCTTTTAGTTAAAACTCATTCCTGCACTTTCATGACTTCTTCAGCATCAACAATATCTTTAAAGTATTTTACGTGCATGTAATTTCACATTTTGGTCATGAAAAAACTTCTGACCACCGCTGTAAAGACTAATTCTAAAACTGGACAGATAGCAGCTTTTAGACAGATGAAACAACAAACCAATTTACATGAAATAGAAGTGCAACTAATTTTGCTGCACATCAGAATATGATAATTGAATATGTTAAGAGAGCCCTCCTCCCCCTTCACATTTAACAAAACCGCTTCCACAGTCGTTTGAACCTCTGTGACACCCTCGGTCTTGTCCTCCTTTGCGTATCACACTAAACATTTATCACCGTGGCTGGGACACGGAGAACCTATCTGCGTGTTACTCTGACGCAAATCTGTACCTTGGCTAGCCGTCTGAAAGGGCTTGTGATATCTGTGTTTATATGTAGCCATCACTGCCACGCAGACACACCCCCAGTCTGTATCTGCATCTACAGACTCAGCAGGCCAGCTGTTTAGTCGGCGTGGTTCAGCAGCGATAACAATAAAAAACAAACTTTGCCTGAAAGCGTGCAAGCCCTGCAGACTGCTGAATAAAATCCCCAAATTAAATTGATTTCTTTCCAGAAGCAGAGTTTTAAATGAAGCGTTTTCATTTTGTAAAACTACATCTAAATCTTTACTAATGAATATTATGAAATGAAACGACTGCAGAGTCATGCCACCCTTTCTATGAGCCCTGAAACAGAACTTAATCACCCCCTACTGGTTATCACTAAATACTGCATATGTACTGCTGCCTGGTTTTGCTGGATTCAGGTTGCACAGCTGTGTAGATTTGCAGTGAAGAATTGCGTACCACACTGGCTCCCATACTGGTCTGACCACTACCGAGCCACGGCATGGATGCAGAGACTGGCATCTGCGGTGGTGCAAAGGGGACGGAGCTAGCCTGGGCAATATTGGTGTGCGAAGAACGATGATCTACATCATCAGAGCTGTAAAACAAAGAAACAAAAAACAAAACACAAGCCATCATTTAATGGGAGAGGAGACAGGGAGTGTGCAGTCCAGGCTCTGTGAGATTTGAAGGAAATCATATGATCTGCTGCTAGTCTGACCTGCGGGACTCCTTATCAAAGTCCTCCCCAATCCACGTGTAGGGCTGGACAGCCACTAGACTGGACACATCAACCTCTTGGACATCATGGGTGGAAGCCAACACTATTTCATTAGAGTTAGCCTAGGAAAGTAAGGAAGCACGGTGGATAAGGCGAGACAACGCATATCACTAGCTTCTCTGAATTCCCAGAAAGTAACTGCCATGTATTTGCTACTTAAAAGGATTTCTAGAAACCTTCATTCAATGTAAATCTATCTAATAATCCTGTCTCCATGTACAGTGTCCTCAGAATCAAAGGAAATTATGAACCACAAGTTTTCCCCAGTATTTTACACAAGTTAACACCCACAACTGACCTTATTTATGGCAAATGCCATGATTATATCAGATTCCTTGTGAATGATTTTAGCTTTTCCTCCTGGGTAGCCCAAATCAGCCTCCACCTGGAAAAGGCAAAAAGAAAAGGAAAACATCAAAGCTGAAGAGAGAAAAACTAAAATAAGGTTCTCCTGGGTCAGTTTAATGGTAAGAAAGACATTTTTTAAAAAATAAATAGACTTTAATTTCCCTCTAGTAGGATAAAGATAGAAAACAGAAAACAGAAAATATTGACAAGTATGACTACTGAGCTTCTGGGCTGACACCCTCCAGTTAGAAAGCCTCGCCACCACACACTGACAGTGAGCATGCAAGTTAGTAGGTTTAAAGTATGTGCCATCTCACTTATGTGATTTTGAGTCCTGCAGAATCAGTCCAGCTAGAAAGGATGTGAGCTACACAGGGAGATGAGTTATTGATAGGTTTGGATATGAGGTTATGTGAGTGGATAAGTGTCCCAGTGAGAGGAAGAGATTAGACATTAGATCTAAGCCATAGAGCTTCGAGTAGATTTTATGCCAAAAAATTACCAGAGCAGTCACTATCAGGCCAAGCTAGAGAGGAGACATGCAGTGCTTTACCCCAGCGTGGCGGGATCTCAAAACAAACTGCAAACCAAACCCTGTGCAACTGGTGCAAGATTTCTTTTAGTGTTTAATGCACTTGCTCCTTCAAGCTTGGCTTCGCAATGACTCTCCCAGACAGACAAGATAGACAGATGCTCAGACAGAGCCAGGGCCTGGGCTGGTACAGTAAATGATACTACCTTATAGGAACTGCTAGCTCCTGCTTTGCAGTGTGGGCTTATACGGTCCGTATGGTTCTCTACAGACTACACACACACAGAGGCAATATAGACACAGGACACACCAACACAGCACGACACAACACACATGCACAAACAGAAAAATAAATCATGAAATGAAAATGGAAAAAAATTAACAAAGCTGACAGGATATTGTATACTTGGTGATAAAAATGGGAGTAAGTCAGACATGTTGCAGCAGGTATGGAGACATGAACTCTTGATCTGACTATTACAGCTGAATTTGGCATGATGTTATTCCAGTTAGCGACAAAGGTTTTAATTATTAACTAGGCATGAGGACAAGAATCTATAGGAGGTTTTTTTTTTAAGTTCAATCTGTGAGCTGCATTGGCAGTCTGTCATAAAAGTGACTGATTCAGACATCACAGAAGGCAGTGAACTCTCTTATACTTGATTATATGCTAAAGGAGTCAAAGCAAAGATAAGAAAAATATTAATAGTGATAAAAATGCTCACTCAGTGCTTTTAAAATAAATAAATAAAGAAAAAAATCAAGGGATGAATTTAGATACATGACTAAGAAAATGACCAAATTGCCATTTCCAACTAATAGACTGCAAAAATATTCCAAAAAAGATCTGGGGAAAAAAAAAAAAAAATATCTGGACAACCGAGCATCTGGATACCGTTTTCCATTTTTAAGGGAAAACCTACTGTAGACATGCGGCACACTAAGAACTAAAGTTAAATTAAAAAGCATATAAAATATGTTATTTATTTTTGTAAAAATTGTTCGGATACTTCACTTTGGTAGGGCTAGTTGTTTGATGCCTACAAGGATCATAAATCTCTATGTTTATAGGTGTCGTGTCTTTACGTGTGGTTAACCTGGGCTAATGTCAGCAAATCCACTTCAGAAATTTGTTTTCTATGACAATCATGTGTTACACTAAGATGAGGAGGAAAAAAACAGAATAAAAGAAAAAAAAACAACATAATATAGTTGCTGACTAACGTGATGTTCAAGTACTTAAAATTCATAAAAGAAATGATAAACTTCATCTAAGGAAAAAACAAAAATTAAATGCCATGTGCCGACCTCGCTCTGCTTCCTTTTCTTTGTGAAGATGTAACGGATTAATGTCTCCTGAAGAACTTCCTGTTTGACCAGAAAATGCCACAGACGTCGGGCTGGAAAGGACTGGTGGTTCCTTGTCCTAAAGAAAAAAAATAAAGTGGATGAAAACAAGGTGATCACAAACAGGCTGTTTGTGACTGTCACTTTGTAAAATCAGAAGCAAAGAAACTAACAGAGTAACACAAATTCCTGTAGTCTGCATGGAAGAAAACTGTCTTTAGCAGGTGAAGCCTGAAAAAACACAAAAGCTTGAAATAATGTGATGCAATCTGGAAAGAAAGAACAGCCACTTTCAAAATTCAACTTATGCCTTCTGGCTGAAACCGACATGTTTCTAGGGGTGAAACTTGTTTTCCATTTCCAGTCGATTTACACTTATTTCACTACCACTTGTGAGCAGTTAGCGAGCTGTTCGGAGAGAATACTGTTTTTTCCCCCAGCAACCTTTGGTCACTAACTGGTGTCTACATCTGTGCTACTGAGGCCTTATCTATTTATCTGCTGTAAGTACAAAGACAAAAATTACATATAGATGATGTAATACTCACTTGAAGGGTGTGTTGTCAGGCTCCAGCATGGCCTTATGTCGCAGTATTGCAGGGCCACCTCCTGAGCTGAGGTCAGTAGGGTAAGTGTTGATGTAGTTGGGAGGTGGGCCATCAAACGTATTCATTCGCTCCAACAGAAGCTGCTCCCAGGTCTCTAAAGTCTTCAAGACAGCATTGCTCAGAGGGGACGTGACTGGCAGCTCTGTGACACAAACACATATACAAATTTGATATTCAGAAGCAAAAAGCTATGAAGCGTTTATCTGTGGATTCCATATGATTAACAAATTATTGTTGAAATGTCCTAAAATATTTCCATGCACCTTCATAAAGAATGCATCGCTTACGTTTAGAGAGCCGTTTAGGATCGGTCTTTTGGCGAGCACGTACCTGTGAAGTCCAGGCCAGTGAGAGGAATGAAGTTCTTGACATTGTGATAAGCCAGTTTCACCATGACCAGGCGGATCAGAAACCAGCTACATAACCCACAAACACACAAATAATTAAAATATGAACCACAATGAGTCTCAGAGGAAATAAAGAGAAAGAGGCATGCTGGCTGTACCTGTAAGAGTTGGGGTCAGAGTGCTCAGTCATCTGTGTGTCAGATAGGAAGGCGTCATCATCATCTTCGTCATCCTCGGCACCGCTTTCGTCTGAGTCATACAGAGCGCTGCTGTCTGACAGCGGCAGGAAAGGCTGAGAGGGGAAATGATCAGCAAAGAGTAAATGAAAGGTTTAAATATGTATATTGTTTATTTTTTTTTAAACCTTAAATCTGAAGCAAAGATTCAGTTTGACAGTTTTACTCTCTTACTTTGGCCACAAAATAGTCCCACATGCTCAGCTCTGGGGGAATGAACTTCTCCCTGTAGGTGGGTCTTTCAACGGGAACAGGAGGCGGCGTGGCAGGTGTCTCCTTTACAGGGCGTCCAGGAACCAGCATCCTCATGTTGAATCTGCGTCTGTATCGGTCCACATCCTCTGCTGGGGGCTGAGGGGGAGCCACTGTAGCAGAAGAAGAATGAAGAAATGGTATATTTCAAACACAAGACAATTTGAAAAGAGATCTGCAGTGTGCTGCATTTTATACAAAGGCTGAAGATCAGCTGAAACTCAGCATCACTTTAAATCCAAAAAAGAAAAAGGAAATAGATCCGGAGGAAAAGTACTGCATCCACATCCTACATAAAACACATAATACCTGAGAAAGGAGGCTCCTGTCTGCACCTAACTTCACTCACAAATGAAACGTCATACACTTTTGGAAAGGAGAAATATAAAAAGGCACAAAAAGCACACGTTTGGGACGTAAGCACAGGGCAAGAAACACTCGCTAGTACACAAACCTGCACCATTATCCAGGATGACTATCTCTGGTATCGCACCAGACAAAACAAGACAAGACACAAACCAGAGTAGACACTGCAGTTAGACACACAGATACTGCACAGTCCATTACATAATAGAATCAGTGAATATTTCATGTGTGGGCACAAAGAACACATCAAACGATGGCAAATTTCTTCAGCAATCATGTGCTAAGCATTTCCTCATATCCACAGCACTTAATAGGCAAACACAATGAGACTGGCAACTACAGTATGTTAAGGTTAAAATGAGTTAATTAGAACATGACAGTTGGGCATCAGCATGTAACTTTTCTCTAAAGCTGTGTGACTGTGCCATGCATGCAGGTTTGCCGCGGCCCTCGAAAGGACAATTTTAACAAGTGATTTTTTATCAACAGGCTGGCATTTAAGATGGCCTGTCCTCTAAAGGAGCTCTTCAAAAGGCCCCTGGCCTTGCTCAGAGCTGCCTCAAGCTCTAGAGATGTGGAGTCTAAATGCCAGTCCCCATCTTCCTCCCTCACAAACACAATGTGAGCACGGTATACTCTGGCCTGATGAATATGGATGAACAGTGTCAATTTCAGCCAACAGTGACACAGTAGAGCTGTGAGCACTTTGGGAATGGCTTCGTTTTTGAAATAAACAGACAAATACCTGAATCATGTCACACAAGCGCTAGTATAAATCTATAATGCAGTAACTCACTCAACTGCAAATTACTTACGTACACCAACTCCATTTGCATTACTTCAAAATACAATCCCAGTTTCAAGAGAGTTGGGATGCCGTGTAAAATGCAAATTAAAAACAAAATGCAATTTTCGCGAATCTATTTTCATCACAGTAGATCATAGAAACCATATCAAACGTTTGAAGGGAGATTAAGTACCATTTTAAGAAGGATATTAACTCGTTCCCAATTTGATAGCAGCAACATGTCTCAAAAAAGTTGGGGCAGGGCCATGTTTACCCACTGTGCAGGATCCAGCCTTATTTTAATCTGTACAAGTCAGGACTGTCTGAGCAGAGCAGCTGCTGGACTTTTGGGAGAGGAATGCTGTCCCATTCTTATCTGATATGGGATTGCAGCTGCTGAAATCTGCAAAGCCTTCCCTAAAAAAACTAATCTGAATGGGAGCACATGCTCCTCTAAAACCTGTACATACCAGTCAGCACTGATGGTGTTATTCCAGATGTGCAAGCTGCTAGTTCCATAGGCACTAATACAGTTCCATACCATTTCTGAAAGGAGCGCTCTCCTCTTTAGTCTGGAGGATGGTGCGTCCATGTTTTAACAAAAAAAAGAATTTCATCTGACCACAGATCAGTTTTTCTAGTTTGTCTTAGTCCATTTGAAATGAAGTTTGATCCAGAGAAGACAAGGGTGTTGCCTTCTCTGGTAACGGCCTTGTCCTTTGCGCACAGGGAAGATTTCTCCAGGTTCCTTGAATCTATGAATTTTCTTGAATTTATGGACAGTAGATGATGAGATTTTAAAAGTTTTACACTGAAGAGGACCGATGATCCTCAGCTCTTTGAGATGCTCTTTTTTTTTTTACAAAGCAATCATGTTAGTGACATGTTGTAAATGAACCTGATTAATTGCAAAATGTTATTTTTCAGGCCTTTTGTCACCCTGTTCCAACTTTTGGTATTTGTTGCTGTCATCAAATTCAAAGTGAGCAAATAGTTTTCATGAAAGAGTAAAATATCAATTCAAACATCTGATAGGGTTTTTGTGTTTTATTGTAAATAAAATATAGGTTTAAGAAATGTGTAAATGATTACATTCTGTTTTTGTTTAGATTTAACACAGCACCGCAGTGGTTTTCTTGAATTGTGGTTGTATTTCATTCTAAATTCGGGACAACACACAAGTAGATATTTAGCCTGAACGCTACAGGAAGCCTCTGAAAGTGTACCTGGTTTAGTCTCAGATTCACATATAGTGGGCTGCTCAGCATTGGCCTCTGAATACTCGTTGCTAGGCCCAGCTGGTGCTTCAGTGACACAAAATGAGCACAGAGGACGTTACAACATGTACATGCAATGCAGTATACACACACAAACACACACACAGCTGTTGGCTTGTCATAACAGTAGTGGATTTTTTTTTTGTTTGTTTGTAATGCTCATTCAGCAGTAGCTTCACGATAGAGTGGTGGGTCAGTCAAGCAGCTGCAACAATGCAAACCTTTACAATTACCATGCACTGCAATTCTGCAAACCAGCACTGCAATCCACCAGCCCAGTTACTCACAGCTGGTGTTAGCTGCAGATACCACAGTGCCCACCCCCTCTTCCCTTAAAACAGGAGGAGGGGGACGTTTAGGGCGCTGGGTTTCAGTAGGGGTGACAGTGGGGTTTGAGGTGAAGTTGCTCTGCTCTGGTCTTCCTGTCTCTTGAGACTCCTCTGGCCTGGCTGCCTCAAAATCAGCTGGCACTGGGACACAGGGCAGAGGGCACACTCACACAAGACGCTACACACGAGTAGCAGCAGCATGTTAGGAGCATCAACAGGACAGTGCTAAGTAAATATCTATGCGATAATACCAAAAGTGGAAGTGATCAGAGATGTTAAAGGGAAAACAGACGTGGGAGGAAAAAGGTCAACTTCATGTGCTGAATCAAGGGATAAAGGCAAATAATTACAACCATGAAGAATGTTGACATGGTAAAGATAAAGGTTTTAGATCGCTAACTACCAAATCGTCATTTTACCTGGTGGAGCCTCAGGCCTCTTTGGTTTAATGACGACTTTGGCCCCTCCTCCGAAGACTGCGGCCCACACCCGGTTATTGAGGGGATGTGCTGCCAGGCGGAAGAGTTCATTGCTGCTGTGAGTGCCCAGGCCATGGATTAGCAGGGAAAGATAAACTGCCACAACAGCTTCACACAGGAGCACGCTGAGCTTTGGCTGGTCCTCGTCCCTCGCGGATGTCAACAATGAAATCAGGGACGACACACCTGCAGAGAGGGGAAGCACATCCAACGTGATAAACGTGCAACAGATTAACCCCTAATTTACACAAATAACTTCCACAGGCAAACAAAAACACCATCTCAGCACCATCGAGAACCCATTTATGAAACCTTTTCAGGATGGCGTGATCAGTCTCTTTCTTTCCATTTCCTTCCCAGAGGCCACTGAGCTCCTATTATAGAACACCATCTGCCTCTCTGCATAAACACAGACTGCCTGCTTTGCTCTGCTCTCTCTCGTCCTGCTCTTCACATTTTCACAAAATACTGTCCTTGATGTTTGCACAGAAAGCCATTTTCCCCATCCTATGCATCTGTGACGATCCTCAAATATAACTCCATTTCATTTTGTAAAACTACAAATTAGAGCAAATGTGTTATTATATTCTAATCCAAATTCTCTCTTCAGTCAGAATCAAACCAACTCCCCAAAAACACCACTGGGTAGTAAAGTAAGAGGTCTTATTACCTGGCCACTGTGCAGGTGCAGACGTGGGAGTAATATGCTCTTCAATGCTTTCTGTGCGGAGTCGTTTCCTCTCACTGAGCAAAAGGCCCTGGTAAACCATCCCTGTAAACTGGTTGGCCTCTGTTTGAGTGCTGCAAAGCAACCAAAACATGAAACGATAAAGTCACAACAGCCCAAAACATACATGTTCAACATTTTGTTAAATACATTTATTCTTCTTTCATAGTGTGAAACTCAAAGATACAAATGTCCGAACAGACCTGGAGTCAGACTAAGCTACACAAGCACAGCATCAAAAACAATAGTTCTTAACTACTAAATAGCAATGAGTGTGTACTTTGAGCACAAGGGTAATGTGAAGCCAGTTTTGGTTTCTGGATGTGTTGCAATGCACGTGTTTACCTGTAGCTGTGACTGTCACACAGTGCTTGATAGATGCAAGCAGACAGAGATGCTGCTAGCGTGTGCAGAGCGTTCACCTAAAAACATGAACATCACTTTTCATTATTCATCCCCAAACTGAACAACCAGACAGTGAGACTTTCAGTCAGCTTAAAGTTAAGTTAGAGATTTTTTTTTAAAGTACTGACCCGATCGTCCATGATGTCCGGACGTGGTGGGGTCTCCATGAGTGTGATGGTGTAGAGGATGTCGTGTATGTGATTGCTGAGGTGGAGAACAGGGTTGGCTATGACCGTCTTGGTGGAGGCAATGTAAGCAGATAACAGGGGCAGTGTAGTAGGCAGAGGCAATGGGGACTGCAGCTGCTTCACTGTGGTCTCCTACAGAGTATGACAAAAAGTGAATTTGCCTTCTCTGTAAACTGTTTTGTACTAATAAAAAACAAACATATATAATGACATATGTATAAAGGTGCATGCATACCTGCTGGCTCTCCTGCAGGAGGAACAGAAGCTCCATGCGAACAGAGGTGACTCCGCCTCCCTTGGCTCCATGAAGGCTGCAGTAGGATAGAAACACTCTGAGCAGGGCCTGGTTCTTCCTCAGCCATGCCTTGCGCCTCTCAGAGTGCTGCTGTTTGGCCTGAAGCCGGCGGCGCTCCATCTGGTGACGCTCATAGGCTCCGGCATCTGTTCGCTCCAATACGTCATCTGATATGTCCACCGATGTTGAGCGTTCTCCCCAGCGCTCCACCTCTGACTCTTCCTCCTTTCCTTCCACCTGAGTTGATAACATTTATGGTAAAAAATAAAATAAAATAAATTACAATGAACCAGAACTGAAAAACATTTTTAGAAACATTCAGCAGTTTTTAAAATAGGCTAAAACAACATCAAATAATATTAAAGTCCACCTTGTAGTTGCAGATTTTATGCATGGCTGCTATCTCCTTCTCCAGCCAGTTGTAGAGCTGAAAGCGGAGCTTCCCTCCGTCCACCTCAAAGCCTGTAGCCAATGTACGCAGCTCTGTCATGAGGATCTTCAGACAGGCACGGAACTTCAGCTGCTCTGCTATCACGTCGACCTCCGACTCGCCCTGAAATACATGTGAGTGACTTAAAGGAAAAAGACCGTGCTTTGTAGCCTCATTGAATTTTATATTTGGAGCCGACCCAACAAAAACACTCTCTGCACCTTTGCTGCAAGTTTCCACCTTTTGGAGAAGATCCCACCAAAAACATCTTCTTTGATGTGTTAACTCCAAATAAAAATCCTTTAAATGTAACATTTTGGTTTGTATCTGTCGTCTCCTATATGCCAGATAAGACAGTACAGAAACTAGACAAGGATGTGCCTTCATACAACATCAAAATGAAGTTGTTTTTTTTCCTGTTTTGGTATTTTAACTGTGCAACCAAAGGAAAAAAACACAATAAAATAAAATCTGAGATCTCCACAATTACTCAAGGAGATTCTAGATATCATTGCTACCTGTGAGTCCTCTCTTTGCAGTTTCTGGCTGCCTTTTCCTGAACCTTCTTCTCCTTCGGTTTCCAGCTCTGGTTTCTTCATGGTCAGACCATCATCGTCCTCATCCTCATCATCTTCCTTGTCATCTCCCCATTCCAGCTTCAGCTCATCTTCCTCTACCTTCACCGTAGGCTGGCTCCAGTCCAACCCACCAGTGCCATCATTTCCTCCCCAGGCCTGTGTCGGTGCTGCTGGAGAGCCCCAGTCCAAACCTCCCTGAGTGCCATTTTCCAAGGGTTGGCTTGTGTTTAAATTGGCCTTGGATGAAGCCTTGCTGAGAGGCGATGAGCCAGACTTCTTGCAAACCTTGGGGATCTTGGAAAGTACTTCCAGAGCTAAAACTGGGCAGCCCACCTACAAGATTCAGAGATTATATAATATGTATATGAACTTTTGTTATATAATATCTGCATGCATGCTTTTGTAGTTATCAGAATGATACACAGGGGGATGGAAGTGATAAATTACAATTATTTTTCTTATTGTAACAAAGTGGATTTTTTTGTCTACAATGTTGATTATGTAAAAGGTATGACATCAAACAGCAACAGCTAAGGCCTAAATCTGAATCTGAATCCTAAATTGACGAATCCTGGTGGGTCAAGCAAAAATGTTAGTTTCTTAGTTACAGCTTATCTAATTTCCTTCATATCACACTCAATGACATCCTGGCTGGGTTAATGCAACATGTAATTGAGAGCCTCCAAGTATAGTTTTTATTCCAGTCTATTTTTCCTGTTACAACACTGCTACATTTCATTTCCCTTTAGAGGAGTAGAAAGAGAGCAAATTCAGCTGATCTTCATGGAGCAAAAATACAATAATGTTCTGTGATCGAGCCCAACAACAATATCATGACTTATTGCTGCATTTCTGCTAAACTACAAGGCAAAAATATTCTTTCTCTTTCCCTGCAAAATTGTATGCGACTGCAGTAAACTGCGTGTAACAAATTTAGCATCCTTTGATAGTGGAAGTTGATTCTTGTGTAAAGCTGTTTGCTGTGTTTGATTTATTTATGAAGTTCATGAACATCACGGTTTCACCCTATCCTGTTTACCCTAGTCCTGCGATTTCAGAGGAAGCAGTCTGGACATTAAAAATTGATCATCAGTTACAGGCACAAGCAACAAAGTGCACTTAAATGTATAGGCTAAAAATGTTCTTTGCTAGTTGTGTCAGAAGGCGATGATTTCACTAATCTTTTACTCTTGTCCTTACCATTTTAATGTTTACTTCAATTGTAACTGGCTCACTTTATACTACATATTTATACTTACACATATAATGTACAAGTTCCCAACTCCATCAAAGGAACTGGATTGGAGTAAATAGCTAGATTAGTATGGACTCACCTTGAAGTGTGCATTGGCTGTAGTGAAGAACAGTTTGCGCTCTATGAGGTTGATCTCGTCTGCGCTGCTCTTTTCAGCAGTGAGGCCTACTGTTGTTGCTGTGCCCGCTGGATTTGCAAAGTGGCGGCGAATGATCAAAGGGTGTGTCCTTAAGTAGTTATAGAAGCTAAACACCACAGGGTTGCAAGCCTTAACCATCACATCTGATGCACAAAAATGGAAAGAAAATGGAGAAAATATTTATTTCAGGTGAAAACAGCATGAATAATGCACAATCCGCTTTCAGTGGAACGTGCCGTTTAAAAATCACTAAAATGTCTTCAACCAACTAACCAGGATTCTCATCGTCCTCTTTTGGGATTCGCTCCAATAATGTGTCCAAAGCTTGCGTGTAGTCTTTCATGATCCAGTAGGCTATGCTGCGGAGGAACGGATCGGGGTGCAACCTGGAACAGTGGTAACCACTCCCATCCCTATTGCAGCCCAAGACCTTCTCATAAAGGAGGCCTTGGCAGGTGGATGAATTCTCAAAATCAGCCTCATACAGCCTTGCTACTATCATGGCTAACTGGAGATCCTCCATCTTCTCCAGCAATACCTAAACACCATGAAACAGCGTGATGAGTTAATGGTGCAGTTTTTTTTTTTTTAAAGAAATAACAAGCCAAGTGCAAAAAGTTAATGATTTCTGCAAGGTACAAACAGAAACTCACACTTCCTTTTCTGCACATCTGTATATTTTGACTGTGTGGTGAAAAAGATCTAGGCCAACAAAGACTATGTGCTACTGTTATGCATCTTATTATTAATATAATTTAGGCTTCTCTTTAGTGATTTAAAGGCTGAAGAATATCCCACTCTGTCATCAACATATTTCTGTACACATATCACCTTAAAGAGAGACAACTTTATGATATTGCTGGTGCAAGTTACACTGAAATATGCTACTGGAGTAAACACAGCATCAGTAAGTTGTCTGTGCACTATTAAAAAAAGTCCTCAAACCTCTATGGCATCTTTGAGGGAACCAGCCAACAGGAAGAAGGCAGCCGACTGTTCAAAGCGCTGCTTTCCCAGTAGGGAGAAAGCATTTTTGAGAGCTGCCTTTCGCCAGCGGTCTTCACTGAAGTTGTTTTTGAAGAACTGAGTCATCTTCTCGTCATGCTGAGACCTGAAAGAACAAAGCCACAGAGTTTGGCATCCATTCTGCTTTAGTAAGTAAATTCACTTAAAACCTCTTGTTCTGAACATTAGAAAAATTACTCAAATTAATTATGTGTTTAGAGAAAATGTCCAACCTGAAGAGTCCCCACAGGACAGCTTTCTTCTTCATGGCCAAGTAGAACAGGGCAGCATCTAAAGGGTCATTTTGCCTCTGGAATGCAGCTTTTCCCAACTGATTATAAACAAGCAATAGTCATTATTTAGTTATTTCTAAAGAGTTATCAATATTTACCAATTGTTTTGATTCATAAAGTCTTTACAGTAACTCCTAGCTGTTCAATATTTAAAAATATAGAAATGGAAAACTCCTGTAGGAAATTAATTACATTACAGAGTAAACTGGATGGTAAGTTTCCTTTTCTAGTTCATATACTCACCTAGAAACTGAGGCAATATCTGAGTAAAATGACATTTTATACAGATATTGCCATAATCAGCATTACATTTTGATTTTTATGTATATAAATAAATACACATATTTATTCTGGTACCTTCTCCACCATTTTCCTCAGAGTGTTGATGTTTCTTATCCACCAACCCACACCCACGGCCCGGAGCTCAGACCACTGTGGGTCGCCTCTCTGCATTGCTGGGATCATGTTCAGCAGCTCTTCCTCTGCCTCTGAGTGGAACGCCCATGCAAAGTGACATGTTGAGAGGCCTGCAATAGAAGCAGATAGTTGGATCGGGATAGTGAATAATAGGGATAGTGAAAGGAGCAATATACCCCATAACTGTCATACAAAACGTTTTGTATACTCGTCTCACAGCAGCAGCACCATGAGCAGAGTACTTTACCTTGGTGGAGCAGCTGCATGCGGTAGAGTGGGGGCAGAGAGGTGAGCAGGCAGGTATGAAGACGCATGGCGAGCAGGTACCTTAGTCCACACTCATCAAGAGCCTCGCCACCTACACAAATACCAGCAGTTGATCAGTTTTTCCCCCCACAGACCACTCAACAAGAGGGCAAAGACCTTTAAACTCAAGTATCACTTGAGTTCATGTGATCCTGTCACACAATAGGTCTCCAGTCCTTGAACCTTCTTACCCTCTTCTCTGCTTACTTAGCACAGGAACAACCTGCTAATGTCTTCCTCACAAAAGACTAAATAAAAAGAACGAAAAACCGAAGTAAAAAAAGGCAAAAGATACTGAAAAAGAGAAAGGAACAGTTTAACCACCAAGATTTGATAGCTGGCGAATGACTCAAGAAAAGTAGTCCTTTCCTGTTTGTTAAAAACATTTAACTTTAATGCAATATTGGACCGATTTGCTAGGTTGCAATTAAATACCAAGACTTAGAACCAATTTGCTTGCTGAAAATATGTATAGCAGGACTGAGGAGGGGGACCGTAATCAACCTTTACTGCTGGAGTGCAATATCAGAAAGGATGCTGTTATGACTTCTTTTTAAGGAATACAGTGTTTATGCCACATGTCAGATGTATTATATTGTACACAGTCTCCTGTACATATCATAAGTACGACTGGAACACACACAAACTAGACAGACCTGTGTACTGTTGATCAGTGGAGCTTGCGACCTCAGCACTTGTGGTTGCAACAGTATCCGCCAAGGCCACCAAGAACATCTGCTCTAGGCGGGTCAGGCCTGGAAGGCTGGAGTGCATGAGTTGACTGGACAGCACCTGGACACAAATGAGAAGAAAGCAAGTGAAGCAGAGAACTGGTAAACAAATATTACTTCTCCATAAGTAGATTTTTATGTAAAGAGAAGCCTTTTTTTTTATTCTATTTTTACCTGAGCATGTTCTGGTCCAAAATATGTAGGCCCATATTGAGAGAGGTTAATAACTCGGGATTTTTTCTCTGGTTTATCTGTGGCAAAGTTTACAAAGTCATCCGTGGTAACTGTTGGCACCTGTTAATGCAGGAAGAGAACGGTTTAAAGACCTTACACGCAGGTAAACCTTTAACAACAAAACCTGTTCAAGTCTCAACTCTGCCTACCTGGAAGAGGTCAGCATACTGGTCCTCTGTGGACTTTTGGGCTGCCTCACCATCAGTCCCTTTAGTTCCCTTAGCATTCTCTTCAGGTCCTTTATAAGAGGTGTCTAGATCAGCCAACATGAGGGAGTACAGAGGCAAGGGAGGGATGGAGTTGATCTCTGTGTAGTCCCTGCCTCCGTCACGGCCCGACACTATGGTGTCTTTTGCTGTGCTGCCAGTAACGCTGATTGTCCGAGACAGATGTCTCCTGGCTCCGCCCTCACCTGCCTCCACATCCCTAACCACAGCGACTTCCCCAGCAATACATTTTACCAGGTGGGCGAGGATGGCCTGACACACACAAAAAAGACCAAGACTTTATTAAAATCAGCTAATCCGCATCACATCACTGATGAAAAACACTGAATAAAAACTCACTAATTTCACTTGGATGTTTTTCACTACTGAATGAGGTAGAAATGGACTCACCTTGGCACGCCGAACTCTGCCCAGGTCCATGAGTTCCAGCAGCTGGGTTGGATGGTACTGAGGCAGAGTTGGGGACAGCGAGTGAGCTGCTTCAAAGAGTCCTCCTTCTTGAAGTCCTGCCGGGGCACGAAGGGCCTCATCTACTGCAGTACTCCCCTCAAACACACTCTTTGACCTGGCCCTCCCTTCAAAGATCGAGGAGGACACTGTGCTTTGACCTCCGGCTATGTCTGCTGATGAAAGGTTGCCTTCTTCTCCCTCACCGGGCTTCTTGTCCTGATGCCACTGTGCATACACATGCATTTCACAGTCCATGCCCACTACTAGGATGCCATCCCTTACCCAGGAAAGGGAGACCGGCAGCGATGGGGTGCCATCCACAGATGACAGGAGGTCAATGGTCCGAAGCAAAATCCAGCGTGAGCGGATCCCCTGTTTGATACTGCCCCCTAGAGGAAGGGTGATAACAGCCACACCCTCCTTGCTGCTAGTCTGCTCATTGACCACGCCAGAGATACGGCCATACATAAGAATGTTAGAGCCCACTCCCACGGTGAGGATGTGCGATCCATCCTCCTTTGACAGCCAGTCCAAGTGCACGTAGTGCTTAATGTTGGGTGAGCTATGGTCTCTGCTCATGTACAAGTCAGACCTGAGGTGAAGAAAATGAATAACCTATCAGACATACAAGCAAAACACTTAGTCTGACATAATAATGATGATAAACGTAATAGTTCCTGACCTGCTGTAGACAAAGAGATTTGAGTCCACACTGACTCTTGGATCCAGGGTGGAAGAGGGTCTGGCGAAATCATCCAGGTGGACAGTTTGCTCTAAAACCCACTCTGAGCCACCAGTAGACTCACACTCGTAGATGGACACATGCATAGAGAAGTCTTCTCTGGAACTTAGACTCTGAGGACAACAGAAGACCGTTTGATTTAACATGACTGCTGTGACAAATCAGTAAGACAGTAAGGCTCTTAATAATACTTTTTACATGCACCTTAACACTAAATACACGAACCTGCTTGTAAGCCAGACTGCTGATGTTAAACCTGAACTTATTTTCACTTCAGTGACATCTAGCTAGTTTTTAATCCCTTCTCACTAATGCTGATCATTTCTAGATGCAGCCCAAATGCAAAACTTGATCATTCTCCACTTTACATAAAAGTAAAATAATATGCAGACACAGGGCATTAGTATCCATTAATGGGAGAGTCCAGGGTCCAGCCAAATGATGTTTCTTTGCCCAATTTACATTTTTATTGCATTTTTCTTTCACCTCAAGGTAATTTCCACATTTTTTTTTGTGGTATAATACATTCACAATACAAATACAAAGCCAAATTCTAATTTCCTACCTGTCCTTGTCGTGGCTGTTTGAAAGCCACAGCCAGCCTGCCGATGTAAGAACACGACACAGCTACAGGCCGGCCTGACACACACACAGCACTGTTGTTGTCCTCCTCTTCATTCATCAGAGCCCAGGGCTCCCAGCGGTACACCCGGTTGTCCTCGCCATCCATACCATTCCCATCATCACCCTCCACAGCACAGTGCCAGAACCGCACTCGGGAATCAGAGCAGGTTGTAACAATCAAGTATGGAGCCAGGCACACGGGGTAAATAGAGGAGGAACTCAGATGTCCTGGTAGAAAGAGGAGACAAAATGAAATTTAAGAATATTTTTCTTTAGCATATTTAAACCCATCAGGAAACTCATTTCCTCAAAACTGAATGATAAAGACACACAACCTATTGAATATACTGTGTCGACAGGCATTGAATTATTACAGTAAGTAAGGACAGGTGAAATGATGCATTAATTTATGTGTAAAAAGAAAAAAAAAAAGAGTTTTTACTAGTGCTGTCAGCTTTAATCTGTCAGCTGCACGGCATCAATGCGTTAGCTTGTTAATGCGTTAGCGCTGTGCAGCCCCACGCATAGGGCGACCCGCGCTAACTCGCTAACGGAGATTTACCGCGTTAATGCGGTTAAGGCGTTAATGTCATTTTAACGAGATTAACGCTGACAGCACTAGTTTTTACACATCAGCAACAACAGCATGGTTATACTCATAAGTTTATATTCCAACCTGCAGATGGGGTCGCCCTAGTAACCTCCACCCCATGAGGAAGGTCAAGGCGTTTGCTGTAAACCAGCTTCGAGCTGAGGATCAGTTTGCTAGCAGATTGCAAGTTAGCTGTTGAAGTTGACCGTGGCAAGGGTCTGACAGGAGACGTCTCTGGAGATGAGTCAGCATTCACAACTTGATTGGGAACCATCAGCTGGCTCTGGAAGCTGTAATCTGGGCTTGGCTCATCTGCACACAGAGGCAACACATCAGAAGAGACAAGTTAATCTAAATTAAAAAAGCAGACTTCACATTATTTTTCAATTTCACCTATAAATGCTTTGCTTCACGCACCAAAACACTTACCCACACAGGCCTGCACAGACTTAAGATGTAGATGCCACATCTGTAGAACAGAGTTCCTGTTGAGATCCTTTTCGATCACCACCAGGAAAAACTTCTCAGAGAAGGGAGGAGGTTGGTAATCTGGATAGAGTAAAATGCAGTATTATCGTCATCTAATGACAACTGGGTTGTAAAATAGGAATAAACAGACCGACACAGAGTTTAACAGAGTGCTATACCTCCCCCAGGTGGAAAGGCTGGTGTGTTTGCTTCTGGTTCTTTCTGGGGCTTGTAACCTAGAATGAAGTCCTCTTGGAAGACATGTAGCAGCTGTGTACTGGCTCCACACTGGAGGCACATGGACATAGCATCACACAGTTTACTATATCTATTGATCAGGAGGTTTCAGTAGTTCATGCCAAGAATTTTGGTCTGTCATTGATCTGAAGTGGGTGAGAAAAAATACAGAGCAGCTGCTAACCTGGTTTGTAATAGCATCCAACTCTATGATACAGCCGGGTCTGGCTGTGGACTGCTGGCTGACGATATTGAACACTTCGCCCACGAGTTTCTAAAAAGAGATATAAAAGGAGAAAATAAAACACATAATCTACTTTGTATTTCATCATACTGCATTTCATTTAAAACCATTGGAGTGGTAGAAAGTGTTGCATAATATTTTTTATATTGTACAAAGGAATGAAGTCTGGAAATTGTTATCTGTGTGACTGGTGTAATAGGTGTTAGGTTTTTTAAAAGCTGGCCTATAGCAAAAGTTAACATCTGTGAATAAAGTGTGTATTTGACCGCTGCTGTGTTTTATGGTTGGTGTACACCTTTAAGCCAAACAAAGCCAACAAAGCAACAGATAAGCCTGATTTTAACTCAATTCTTGGTCCCTCATGACAGATTCTAAAGTTCCGCAGTGTGAGGAATGAAAACCCAGATACATTCACATAAACCTTAAACGAAAACTATCACATTGCAGTGAGCAATAACAAAACAGTGCATATACTCACAGATGTTTCAGGATCTGACAGCTCATCCAGTAGTTTCCTGGCATCCACAACAGCTTGATAGAGACGCAGGTTTTTACCATCTGATGCCACGAAGCAGGCACTGGCACTGTTACAGTAAGTTCCTGTTAGACACAACACAAAGATTGCAGGCTTAATATTGGGCAATGCACATAACTCTGAAGGACACTCATAAATGGAGCCGTCCAACAAAACTTCTTCAAAGAGCAATAATCGAGACAAACTAGATTGAGAATGGGTTTGAATTAGAAAGGGTATATTGTTTTTTTTTCTTTCAAGACTTATGGCATCAGTATCAATAAGACAGAAGAACACTGCATTTTGACCGCAAAGCTGGAACATACTGCTGATTTGTTTGCTACTGCTGGAACTGAGTAGCTGTGACAGTTGTTGAAATTCTGAACTTAATATCATCCTGCCACCTGGACAAAAAAAAATAACTCTGAGTGCAGCAAGAGCCTCAGCAAGACTGAAATTTCCCCTCTTAATCAAAATTCTTGTTATTAAGCTACTTACAATAACAATAACAACAATAATAATAATAATAACAACTCAAAAATCAGCTTTATATAAAAATGTACGGTATATTTACCAAGTACAGTGCTGGGTACTAGCGTGGGTAGCCAAGCAACATTGCTGAAGGCAGAGGTGTGCAGAGAGTTGATACGGGCCAATTCTGAGACGCCTCCAGTGCAGGACAGGGGTCCAATGTGGTCCACTCGCCACAAAATCAGCTCACTGTAGATTGCGTTGGGGTCATGGAAGGTCCTTGTAGCTGCATTACGAAGCTGCTTCCTTAATAATGGATAACAGTGACAGTTACTAGCCTATCAGCAGCAAGCTAAACCCATTATTGACTGCTTCAGTTCTCTACCTCTACTCCATGCTATACCTGGGAAGACCCTTTGGTAGGGGAAAGGTAGGAGGCTGCTCTCCTTCCAAACTTCCAGGGGCTGAGGGAGGGGTGAGCAGGGCATTGTGGTGAGAGGAGGTCAGCAGCAGCGGCAGCACTGTGTGACAAGCTTGGTCATTCAGATGGAAACGATGGCCGCAGTACCGGAACTTATGAGATACTGTCAGTACATTGGAGAAGTCAGAACGCTCTGCAAATGTCACAGCCCACTGCAGACAGAGGAATCAAAGCTTTTTGTGAGGGAAACAGAATATGCAAGAAACATCAAATTATAGCGTGAGCTGCAAAATGATAGACTGTCTAAGAATTGTGTCAAGCCTGTGGCAACATCTTGGGCTAAAGTGGCAATTTATCAAAACATGTGAGCAATGCTCTCAGAAAGAAGAGCGAGGTTAACCTCAACCTCGTACCTGGTTAAGAGATCCATCAACATGCTTGGAGACCATCATGACAGCTGGACTAATGTGAGGGTTGGGAGGGGAGGTCACAGCAGCAGAACTAAGGCCAGCTGAGGCTGAAGCAGAGTGGGACACATGTTGGACTATCCTTCCCTGCTTGCCTACTCCAGCGCTTACACCCTCAGTCAAAGTGCAGGCATACATGAGGATGTTTTTACTCAGTGAGTTGGCATCTCCTGTGGGAAACGCCACCGGAATACGGGAGGAGAAGGACACCTGGAGGAAAATAAGAAACAGTTGCAAATATTTTCTTAGTGCCTTAACCCTTAAGAGATCCACCTATCAGTTTAAATCAACATAATAATTCAGCTTCCTAACGATATTCCTTTTGGCTTACTCATTTGTGCTAAACCAACTCAAACACTTATTTAACTTGTATTGTGTAGATATGTTTTAATATTAGAGCATTAAAGTCTTTTCATACTCTACTGTATTTTTGCAGTCAATGCAAAAGGGATATTTTCGAACAAATTTAAACATCTGTGCAGCTGAAGCCCAAAATTCAGTCCTTTTAAATTTAATATCCTGTTTGGTCCTCATTACAGGAGTGCTGAAGTGCTGCTCTTACTAGGACAGCCGGATGCTACAGTGCAGGCTTCTCGCTGCATATCAAAGTGAAAATTAGAAGAAAAATTACTTGGGCTCTAACTTTATTAAAATGACAAAGACTTCCTTCAGTAAGTTATAACAGCTTTTGCTAATTAATATTAATTCTGTGGGTAACTTGATAAAGCGCAGAGTACACTCCATAATTCTCTATTGGAGAAAATGAAAAAATATATTCTGAATGTCAAATACGACTGGAGGAATGCTGAGTCAATTTATAATTGAGAAAAAACAGTCACACAGTTTGTGCTGTGAGCAAGGTGTGTACGCGCAAGTAAACGACTAAATTCAATTTAAAACAGAAAAGTTACAATTTAGGAAAAGAGATTATGATTTGCTTGAAAAATGTTTTTCATATTCTGAATTTTTGTGCACACCTGAACCTGTCTGAAGATGCCCTGGTTGAATTCGTCCAAGTATTTTACATGCCAAACCAGGAAAGATCCATCCAGTGGATGGATGGTAAACAGCATGTCCGGGCTCTTGTTCCACTCTGTGATCAGAGTCTCCATCTTCCTCTCTAGCAGCATGGAAGGCAGAGGCATGCTAGAGCTGGATCCTGGGGAGGATGCCTTGGTGCTTCCCTGCTCCCCTGACTCACCCTCTTCTCCTTGCTCTGAGGATGCTTTGTCAGACATCTCATCCAGGTCTGGAAAAAGCAAACAAAAACAAAAAAATATTTAGTCTTACATGTGTCCTTTAACATGGTACGTTTTAAGCATCCTTATATATTGTTAGCCTGGTCATACCAAAGTCAAACTTCATAGGGGATCCTTCAGGATCCAAGGGGTCCTCAGTAGTTTGGTCCAGCTGTTGTTCAGAGAATTTACGGAGTTGCAGCATAAAAAGGTCCATGGATGAAGTGAAGCTAAGATCCTTATTATTGAGCCAGTGAACCACAAAGCCTCCGCCACCTGTGCCATCGTCTGGGTTAAACACTGCAGAGTCAGCTAGCACTGATGGGATATCTGACAGACAGAAACATGGCAGGAGCACAAATATTACACAAGCTTAGATTAAGTTTACAGCTCCATTCAATGTGCACATTGATTCATTTTAAAACCCAGTCCAACAAAAAACACTACCTGTGTTGGGATTAATACTGGCCGAGATATGGAAGTGACACAGGGCATTGGCATGATGAGCGATGTGGCGGTGAGTGTGTGCATCCTGTGTGCCCAGCTGAGAGGGCAGCAGCTCACTGTGTGCCACCAAAGCAGAGGACCGTCGCCGGCCACGGCGCAGATGTTTTAGGTGGTGGATTGACTAATAGACAGGAATAAAGGCAAGAGAACAGGTCTGTGTTATTCCTTTCTGAGAAATATTCCATTTTTTGGTCATTTATGAATTATTTCTGCTGAGATTGAACCAAGTGTACCTCCAAAGCATGTTGGATCTTGTCCTTATTGCCTGCCAGGCCTGGCAGGCTAGAGCTGAAGGACTGTGTGTTCTCAGTGATCTGTCCACCAAGCAGACTGTCTTCAGGTAACAGGGTCTCCGACCATAATCTACACACTCCATCCTCACAAGATGTCAGCAACACATTGCACACTGAACCCCTAGAAAATAACACAAGAATGTAATCGTCCTTCAGTAGTTCTTTTTTTTATTCATTTTGCCTTTATTAAAAATGTTCAGTCAAAACACATTTTAGGGACACAACAACATTTTTTTATAACAAGAGTTAAGTATGCATACCCCAAGACTAAAATAAAATTATTGCTGGATGCCCAGTTATTGAATATCTTTCTGGCCTAGTAACGCATCACTCAACGGAGGCAAAACCTCATTTTATAGCCAAAACATTATGTCTGGCTTTGAAAGACAACAAGCACGTACAACAAAAGTGGACAAATGAACACGTTTACAGCATATTATGTGTGTGATCATGTGTGCTTTCTTACTTGGGCATGTACTTGCTGGTCTTCCTCCAGGACACACCAGTGACCGAGCGAGGATGAGCCAAGTAAACAAAGGAGAAGTGAACAGGAAGAGGCTTTTTATCAGATGGGTCCTGGACCACCACTGCGGCTCTCCAGCCAGTAGTGGGATACCAAACCTTGAGTAAACAGTCATCCTGTACATGTGCAGAAAATTCTTATATAAGCAAACTGAGTTACAAAAAAAATGTTTCAACAATTTGCCATTTTTAAAAATGTTATTAACCTTTCCAATTGTGGCAAAATACTCTCCATCAGGAGACCACTTGGCTGCGTGGACAGACGCAGCGGTCCTAAAAGAAAAGGAAAAACAAACAAAAACAATATCAGCTATTAAGGTTTCTCATGTGATGCCAAACACACTTTCCTCAAGAGCTGTTCACCATGTTGGACATAATGCAAACAATGGTTGTTAGGGAATAAGATTCTCATCTCTATTCCTGTGTGAGTGGGGTTTTATCCACCTGCTCGTACACTGTCACCATAATTTTCACACGTTCAACGCAGCAAAAAGTTAACCTCACATGGTTAGTGGTCAAGCGTCAGCAAAACCCTTAACATCCACTTCTCCATGGAAACAGTCTGTTTCTTTGTGCACAAGGTATTGTTGGTCGCAACCATTTCGTAGTTTTCTGTTAGTCATCATATGACAGTAACAAATGTGGTTTCATATGTCTGTGTCTACTCACACAGCTTAAGGCGTGGGAGCGGCACTGCCTGCTGACTCAGAAGACTAGTCTTCGTGTGAGGCCAGATGTGTTTGAATAATCAGTAACTGACTATAGGTTTTATGAGGGAAAGGGAAGATTTCAGAACGTTTTCTGCACAATAAAGTGATTAACTCTTCACTGCATGAGAAAATGACCAAAAAAAGTTTACTTCCAAAGTAATAGTGAAAAAATAATGTATGCAAAATATTCAGCTGTTGCCTCAATGCTACAGAAACTAGAATAACTGCCTTGTTGCAGCCGACATCTATGTCTGGGCATGCTCATCATATTACACTGTGTGTTGTAAAGTGTTTTTGAAGAACAAAAAAAAATATATATATAACACACAAATGTTCACAGACCATCGTCTGTGAACATTTGTGTGTTATATATATATTTTTTTTTTAAATTTTATTTCTGTTTAATGTTATCATCGATGACGATTTAATTCAGTTACGACCAGAAAGGGTTTTTTTGTGACCTTTGACAAACAAAATCTAATCAGTTCCTTCCTGATTAGATTGGTGTCAAATTTGAAGAAAATCCCTTTCTGCATTTGAGTGTTATCATGTTTAAAAGGATGGGGCAGGTAGACAGACACAGAACCCAAAAATATAATACCTTTTCAGAGCAGAGGTCTAAAAATCCACCTCAACTTTCTCAAAACGGATTTTAAATAATTTCTAGATTCCACTTAAAATTAGACAAACTTGGCTGAAGAAAGCATCTTCAATTCCACAAAAAGAGAGAAGAGGAGGTGGGAAAAAAGCATCTGGTCTGTTCAACACTTAATTTACTGGTTAGTTAAATGTCAAGGTATTTATCCTAAAACTGTAGCTTTGTAAGGCGCATCACCCTGAAGCAGCGAGTTTTGTTTTTTAATAAAACAATATATAGAATGTAAGCCAAAACGCACTTGCACTGCCAGACACAGTTCCAGTCACTGAGGACAGGGTGGGGCTTGTCGTCAATCATCTGCCCATCCTCCTCCTCTATCAGGGCATCCGTCAGTGGAGGTGCCCACAGCTGGAGTCGCTCGGTTGCTGCTAGGATACGGTTCCCTGAGGACACAAAAGCACTGTGTTACACACCTCATGTCCCACGTTGACTACTACACTACGCAGAGCCACATACAAACTGTGACTCTTACATAATGCACATGCTGTTTCAGCCAAATCAAAGGGTGGTAGGAGAAGGAGCTGCCTTTATCATGTAATGATTTCTCTGGTAATCATAGAAAGCATTTGTGTACCTTGTGGGTCCCAGGCCAGGTTGTAGGTGATGGCATCAAGGAAGAACTGTCCTGTCTTTTGCCACTGATAGTTAAGCTGCTGTTAGTGGTGGGAGAGCGACACACACACCATGCAGTGTTACTGGAACAAAGGTGTAATTAAATCTGCTACATACTGATTTAAATCCCTAAATCTGCCTAAAAAGCTGGCGCTAGTACTCACCTTGTGGCGTTTATTTGGGTTGATAGAAAGAGGTTCAAAGATGCAGACTGTGTTTCCGTAGGATGCAGCAATCTAAAAATAAAGAGCTGTGTTCATCATCACAACATTACTCACCCCATCAGTGCTTTTGCACAGTCACTCCCACAGGAAAAAGGAAGGTGTGGTGTGGTGCAGGAGAGCAAAATGGCAAAGGAAGACGAGAAGTTGAAGACAAATGCAAACGAGGCAAAATGTACCTCTTTCCGCTCAGCATAATTGATAAAATCTTTTAGCCACAGGACAAAAAAAACTAAAGCTGTGTGTGGGAGTGTGTCTCTGTGAGCATTTAACACTTACCCTGCCAAGCTGGTGGGAGCACTCCACACAGCCCACCTGTATGTTTCCATTTTGAGCTCCCGGGATAATCTGAACACACTCAAAGTCACTAGCCAAGATCACTACATCGCATCCTGAGCCATAGGCCTGAAAATACCAGAGTATAGGAAAAAGAAAATCACATTTTAAGTCATTCAACAAATGTAATCAAGACACTGAGATTTAAAATTACAATCATTGCAAAATGTGTCTGGAAGCTGGAGATCATTCTATATGCAAATCTTTTCACTATGCTATTTTTACTACTTCAAATATTTATATGACTTGATTTTAACAAGATGGGCAATATATAGCCAAGCATATCACAATATCTGCAAAAGCTGTGTCAATCACATGAGGCATGAAAGAACAGCTCAACAATTGGAAAGAGGCGTCTACAGGAAATTACATTCGTGCTGAATGGTGGAGAGAAAGAAAAACAACAGTGTGACTCTGCAGTCGCTGAAACAACCTCCTGATCTGTTTATATTACACCCCGATATCGGTCATTTTTGTTTTTACCATTTATCACACTGAAAAAAAATAATTTTCTTGAAAATAAAGCGCATACACGGGACTGATCAGCCACTGCAATCATAATATCATTTAATGCACATATGTGGTGATTTTATAGCACTATAGCATGATTTCACATGATCTATTGAAAACAGCATTTCTGAACATCATTCTCATGTGGCACTGAAGGAAAAACTGAGCCTTTAACAGCACATGTGACACTGCATCTGGAAGACCTGAGCCTTGCCAATGCAGGATTTTTAAGACCAATGTTTGGGGATTTAAAAAGCCAATACTTTGGTACTGGTCAACATTTTTTTTTCCTTTTTAGATACATGAAACATTTTCCCGACATCTGTTGGCTAGTTATTTACTCGTTTATGCTCTGCCTGACTGCGCTCAGAACAGCTGCTTGTTGTTTTTGTTGCGTTCAGCGCTGTTGCAAACAGGAAGGTTGCAGAGTGCCCTCTGGTGGACAAATCTCCACATATTTGAAGGGTGTTTCTCCCATCTCTCATTTAATTTTCATTTGTCAGCAGCTATAAATGCCAATACTGATTGAACTGAAAGTAGCTAATATCATCCCCCCACCATCTAAGATAGTCTAAGACACATTTTGTGGATCATATTTCACACAATATTTAAAGAAAACTGACAAACATTGATGAGACAAAAATTTCACTGATCACATTCACCATTATATGCATGCTGTCGCACTGCCGAATAACTGCTGTAAGACTAGTTTTAGTTACTTCTCATGCAAATCAAATAAAACCAATTCCAGACACGTTCCTTTCCACCTGCAATACTTAACCATGGGAGGATATCCATGGTGTAAACTCCATACAGTGTGCATTTTTTGTTTCCTTTTCAGTTTTGCTGAACAGACAAACGTTCATAAACAAAACTTCTGCTTTCGCTCTCATCTTGGCAGATGAACAAGGGCGAGCCACAAAACTAAGTAATATTACATTGCAACTGTCACAACCAAAGAGGAGCTGAAAAAGTTAAATTAAATGTTCAAAATATTTACATTTTGTGTTTTAGACAGTGCATGAGCAACAGTCTGGCAGCAAGGATTTTTATACACTTGTGCAGACCCGGTGTAATACCTACAATATAAAGATTTGGAACATCGACTGGAAGGTAAATTGATATGATGCTGATTGCCAGCAGCTGGCATACATGAGCAGAATGACAGCGGCACCTAGGACACCAGCAAACTGGTCTCACAGCAGCACTACAGTCAGGATGACGGCTTGTGTCTTTCATTATTCAGGAGAACAGGAGGAGACGCTGAGAACCACTAGGTCACACAATAACACACTACAGCCAGTTATATAACACTGAGTGACGATCAGGGGATGAAGTTATAGTGAAAACTGTCATAGGACCGTACTTTAAATACTATAATTTAAAATGTGAGTGACACGTAGAAAGGAAGAAGGGAGGTGCAGTGTGTACTTCATTCTTACTGCGACACTTCCCTCTGAACATTACAGCTGGAATTAAAAGCGGTCACCGTCACGCGCTGTCTAGGACTGCTTTGCACCCTCTCCCTCACATACACATTTAGACACAACAGGACCTGGAGCTAGTGAGCTTAAATATACCCAAGTTAAAGAGGGTGACCCATCGTTGTTGTTTTTTTTTAAATCATCCTCAAATCCACATAGAGGGTTGGCAAAGGACTGCATTTTTTAGTAATAGAAATTTAATTCTGATATTCATGGTATTGTGTAGTGTGATAGTCTGTGTGGAAAGACACTATTAAAACATGGCGTTAGCACATCATACAAGATTAATAATCATCGCAGTGTGTGCTCAGCTTTCAAAGCTTATCCACATGCTATTGCTAACTGACAACTGATGCACTGCCAAATACGATCCAGGTGGAACTTGGCTCTAGAGTATATAGAGCCAAATAGATGGTGTACCAAACAAAGGAATCATTCTGAATTGAATGTCCCACACTGGTTTGGGACAAATACATGTATCATTACCCTATGACAAAGACTGGCACTGTGTAACAAACAGAGAGAAGATTTAAATGGATAAATAAGATAAAAATCCAACAGTGTCACCATCATCAGGTAAGAGATTCTCGGTCAGATTATACCTCAGGTTTGTCTTTTATTTAGGTTTTTTTAAGGAATGAGATATTCCACAGTCACATCTAGACAATCACGTCTCCTGTCTATAGCATCTTTGGCCTCTGACAAGCATTACCTCTGATCTGTCTGCACGGCATTATTTGTGTGCAGAAGGGAAAGGATATTAGAGAGGCAGGGAGACAGATTCTAAGATTAAAGTAGATCAACTGAGAGATGTGAAACACTATGACTTAGTCAACACAGTACATTTATTTAAATGGCAGTCTATTGCAAACACCACCGTTTGCTGAAAAGTCTAATCAATGTAATGCCCAGCTAACTTTTAGGATAGTAATTTGATTCAGTAAAAGATTAAATTAGACGGCCACTGATTGTGTCTGAATATATTTGGATCATCACACTCAAGTATCTACAGCTTCTAAATCCACTGACTTAACGAGTGTGACCCTGATGGAGCTGCATTTCTTCCCTGTCAGACATATAAGCTGCTTATATGAAGAATGTTGCCGCCATTAGATAAATACCGTCTGTCTACTGACGAAAGAGCTGCAATCAAGCCAAGAAACAATAAACTGTCAGTTTTCTGTTAAATACAAACTATGTATTTTTGAGCACTATCTACTTGAGAGCTTTGGTAAACAACCAAAGGTCAATTATTAGCTAATTATTTAATTAAACCTTAAAGCCCTTATCCCAATAACACATTTTTAAGTTAACCAAAGTTTCAGTTTGTGAGGAAAAAAGGACATAAATAATACAGTGTGTTGTATTAAAAACAGTTGTCCCTGAATCACTCCTCTGGGCTGGGTTCCTTAACCCAGCTCTGGAAAAACCCCAGTGTCCTTATTTAAAGGGTTAGTCAGCAAACTCCATTTCTAGCCTCATGAAAGACAGCGCAGGTATCTATAACATGTGTTATTACTGATAAGAGCTAAACAAACGAGGGACATTTTGCCAGTCTCATTTTAAATGCTATTTGCATAATGACAGAGAGGTATTTGTTAATGTCTTTTAAAATAAAGGAGTGAATGTAATTGTGTTCTGTGGTAATGAAAGTAGATATGAGGAACAAAGTGAGAGATCACTTCTGCCTTCATTACATCAAATGCCACTTTTACATAATCACGTGATCATGTTCCAAAGGCCCAGCTGCTACCATCTGTGGCATATTTGTGCAAGCTAGCAGGACTTAGAGTGAACATAAAAAGCTTTTGGTGCATTGTTTTCTTTAAAGGATTGATCAATTCTGACTTGCAGTAACCTGGTAAGTCTATCAGTCTGTAAGATATCAACCTTTGCGAATCCTATGGCACAGACCTGTACTTTGACTCCTCCACTTATAGTCACATGGCATGGTCTTTACTGTTCACTGCAGCAAGATTGCAAGAAAACAATGAATGTTTTAATGCCAAACACAACATCTAGATTCAATCATTCTTCATTCTCTCAGTTAGTCATAGCATATTCAACTGAATCGATGTAGCCAGCCAGGCAGGTTGCTTTTAGAACAACAGGGGACCTGTTTTAGTGACACTTTTGCTTCATAGATACATAATTAACAAACATTTTTTGGCCAAGATTTATGTAATCTTAGACAATCCTATCCATATTTGATCAATGTGCAGCACCTTCTTCTATTGCAGTAATATAAGAACATTTTCAGAAATATGGAGCTTTGGGAGAGAGTACGTGCTCCTCCTCTCCTTGTGCTTAGTTTACAGATGTATTCTATTTTTAGCAGATCACACATCTGCAGATCTGCATATCAGACCCACTAGGCTTTTTACAGATATTAAGACACCGACTACGGCTTAAGAATCACTTTAATAGACATGAAAATGATCTTTCTAACCAAACTTTACAGCTGTGTGTTAGCCACAGTTAACGACAGAAAAAACAACACGTGATTATTAAAAATCTGCCAATATTATATTTTTTAAATATGTACTGTTCCTTTTAATTCCGACTTATAGATCAAACTGTTCTGGGTTCTCAGCACATAACCACCATCTATCAAGCCACTGCACAGAGAGAAGGCAACATGTCTGTTTTTCACTTTCCAACTCTATTTAAAAATATCTCTTCTGATTTCTGTCAATATGTCAATGCAGATAGTTTAGAATGAAACACTGCAGACACCACGCTGAAGCTGGTGCCCTCATGGCTGCTCTAGATTAGATATGTACGTATGTGTTTGTGCGTTTTGTCAGGATCTGGCCTCCGAGCCCTAAGGGTCAGTGGGAGTGTAAATGTGTTTGCTGGACATGAAGCCCAGTGCTCTTCAAATACCCTCTCAGACACTGAAAGAAAACACCAGGCACAGAAACCGGGCCCTTTTGGCAAAGCGATATGCAATGCTTTAGCTTCAAAATCATCTTTGTCCTTTGCTGTAGCGCATATTTGAGGATACTGAAAGACGCCTGTTTTTTTGCATTTAAACTGCCCTCATCAGTCGCCAGTATTTAAAAAACAGATCATTTTAACTGTAATAAACAGCACGATGCTCTACTGTACTATAATTTAACAGAATGGCATCAATCAGAAGGGAAGGACAAGAACATACCCATTCTCCTGAAAAAATTAAAAACAAAACACAATGACAAAACACCACCTCATTAATAGGCAGCAGGAACAAGCCCAGATCTGGCAGCTGTAATAAGCCAAAATAAAGTACATTCATCAGGCTATCAGTAAAGTCATCATTCCTCTTCTGCTATTGATTCAACACCAACACAGAGAGCAACAGTTTTGGATTCTGCTGCACGTTTACTTCAGCCTGTCAATTTGTTGGGGGTGAAAGAGGACTGTGTACTGTGACATTACAGATTCTTGCCATGTCTTGTAGCACAAAGTGAAATATTGACTTGTCTTCTATGTATTCGGAGTCGACTTGAGACAGATCTTAACAGATCTTTGACACACAACACGCAACAGAAGCAGACTCAGCTCAAGATAATAGCGTTTGATCAAGATGCCTAAAAACCCATCAAGTCTATGTGACTGATGTCCGACTGCCCCATCTAAAACTGTAAACCTCTAAAGAACATCAAACACTTGGTAATGAAAAATGTAACTAATTTATTCAAGTCAAAGCAATGGCAAATGTCTTCTGATTATGTTCTTCCCCAGTGACAAAACACGGCCATTCAGCCGCCTAACTCATGTATCCATATAAGGCTCTCTACGTCACGGCTGGCGCAGCTGATGCCAGGATGACAGCGAGCTAACGATCTGTGAGGAGGATTTAACGCCAAATGGGAGCAAGCTAAGCTAGTTCTGCAACCACACCAAACACAGCGTTTTCCTTCTGTGAAGGTGCGCAACGTCGTCAAACCCTGACACACAAGTCGCCCCTAATCTGCACTGCAAACGAATTTCACCGGCGCGTATTCCACTGCAAATATTTGCCAATAAATGTTATGGCTGCGCAAAGGGATTCCCTTGCAGTAATTCTAATGTTACGAGATGCAGCTAAAGGTCATTTGAGTGGCTGTTTTTAAATGTCTTGGGGAGAATAATGTCAAAAACCTTCACGTAAATAGCTAATGGAAACACCGCAGCGCATCACGTACTCGTGGGGTCCTGCTTATCGGTGACTGACTGTCACGGTAAATTTAAAAAAGGAGCTCGTGACACGGATGCCCCGCGTAGTCTCAACCCACTGTTTGTGAATCACTCGGTGCGGCAGTTTGGCTAGCACACTACCCGGCTAGCCAGTGCTTTAGCTCGCTAGCCATCCCGTTTACAGCCAATATAACGCTGGTTAGCTAACTACCCAGCTAGCTAACTTAGTCGCTAGCTTCAATGGGTGTCATCTTTGAGCAAACAATATCAAAATAAAATCTTACCGTGAACTGAATGTCGTTCACACTTCCCACCGAATAGCAGCAGTCTCCTGGGTTCACAGCTCCCGTCAGCACCTGGTGCAGATGCATTTTCCTTTTATTTTAGCAGCAGACGGGCTCTCTTTTTTTCTAATTATTTATAACGAGTCCACCCTTTCGGTTTCTCCATCTAGCAGCAGCGACTGGGAATTCCATCATTAACATTAACGTCGTCCTCGGACAGGCAGCACCGTCTTCCTCCACAAACGGTGTTGTTGCGGAGAACCTGACTTGGACTTGAATAAATAAATTTTATCAGGTCCTGACATTTATTTAAACGTGTAAAAACGTCCGCTTGCTGCCTCTCGCTGTCAACACCATCCCGACGATTAATCGTGAGAGCCGAGGCAGCGGGATCTCTGCAGCGATCCTGACATGCGCGTTCACAGCGTTGTCCAGGCACGACTGAAAAGCCCTAGATAGCTCAACCTAGACTGGAAATCTTTACTGCTGGATATGTGTGCGAGGCATCACTGGGTGTATTTCTCACTGAGAAAGGTGTGTGCTTAAGCCCTCCTATCTATGTTATAGAATGACGTAAAGTTCATATCAGTAATCAACTGTACTTTTATCTGTCATGTTGTTCAGCTGTTCTAGTAGCACTCTTCTGTATTTAAGGGACTCCATCTTTGTGGATTTCAATTTATTGCTTGTAAATGTAGGGTCCGGGGTCTAATTGAACGGGTTAAATCAAAAGTGGTAAAGGGTGGGTTTTAATTTAGACAATATGATGTGTATACTGCGGACAGAAAACATTTAAAATACAACAGTGAGGGCATTTTATAACTGACCAGACACATTCACAGAGCTCTGTGGCTCTTCTCCTTTGTGGTTCGCCACTGCCAGCTGAAAGAAGGTGGCTAAGATTGCAGACATACTGGTTACGGAAATAGCAGTTTCTTTTAGGATGCATATGGCACAATGTTTCAGTGAAACTCCTGCTTTTTCTTTAGAGAAAAGCTAATAAATCTAGAGATGATCCAAAGGGAGACTTTTCCTGTTTAATTTCACTTCAGTTTTGTAAAATAATGTATTTGTCTTTTGGCCTCAATGTCACAAACAATTTCTTTAACATTAGAATTTCCAGTGTTGTACAAAAATCTTGAGTCACACTTTATTTCATGATATTTTTGCTTCCAATGAGCACACATCTTGCAATTTTCAAAGTGGTTTTGAGCAATAGTTCTTCAGGTTTTCTCAAGGCCTTTCAATTTTTTTCTTTAGACTGCCTTTTCATGCATTTTCAGTCCAGTTTTTGTACCTGGGGTGTTAAACGCATGTTTGTTTGTGCTTTGGCCTGTTTGTTTGTTAAGCCACTGACCTATGGATCATTCAAGCATAAAAGAAGCACATAACCCACGGGATGAACCACGTTTGTGTTTGTTAAGAACCCATTTTAAATTGTATATTTAGGCAATTTGTTACTAGCAGCCTGTTGCAAAAGCTTCCAATTTTTTAGTCAAAGCTATGAAAAATACAACAGTTTGATATTATTTTGCACCAACAAGGTGATATTAACTGAAAAGCTGATAGTATGTATATGAACGAAGAAAAAACAGAATAAGATTTGAGCTGCCATTCAATGCCATCTGTAGGCATCTGATTGGTAGCACCTTCCTTTTTCAGCATATCAATGATCCCAAACACACTGCTGGTGCAGTAAAATCATGCACACACAGAGAAACACTATCAGTTATGGATTTGCCTTCCCAGAGCGCAGACCTCAACATTATGAAGCAGTGTGGGATCATCTTGACAGAGAACAAAACAAAAGGCAGCCAACATCCAAAGAAGAGATTTGAATGTCCTTCAAAAAGCCTGGATAACTACTCCTGAACACTAAAGAAATGACACAAAGGCTTGCCTGAGAGAGTTCAGGCTGTGCTGAAAAATAAAGGCGGTCATACCATTGTAGGTCCAATAACACTGTGGAAGCATAATATAAAATCAGTGAAGAAATGTTCTAATGAATAAAAAGATCACATGCAACTGTCCTGCCTCTTGTTTGTACTTTTTGGATTTTGAGATTCACTCAGGCACCATTTAACAGAGAACAAAGGGAGGTGAGCAAGACCTGACTGAGCTTCAGGATAACTGTTCCACATCTGTTTATCTGCTCTATTTCATCTCACTGATGAGATTTAACAGAACGCATCAGCACAATGCTGTTTATCCTCTTTCCCCCTTAAACTCCCTTTTACATATCGGCTGTAACACTCTCCTTCATTGTTTGTAGAAAAATGATGTGAACGATCCGTGGGGGATGATATGCAACCTACCATCATGGCACTGGCCTAGTTATTTAAGCCACACTGACATCATCAAGCACAGCCTGCCTGCCAGCCACCATGACACACAGGACATCAGAACAGAATATTGTGAGGCAGAAGCCCACAGAGAATGTGACACATACGCATAAACAGTGTCAACAACAATGGCGGGGCACACTCATCGTGTCGTATGTGTCTATCCATTTAGCATTTGGTGACTACCATTTTTTAAACTTCAAGTGTCAGACTTTACAGCTGTTCTGCGTTCATAGACTGGTCATAATGACTGATGATTAGCAATAGGTCCTACAAAGAACATAAGTCCTCCATCAAAAGAGTTACATTTACAGTTTAACCTTCAACATCAGGTTATAATTTACGCTGTCGTAATCTTGTGTAAATTAGAAACAAATTCCCCAATGACTACTGTTACATAACCCAGAGTGCCATCCACGAGCTTTAAATTCTGTGAGACTTTACCAAAAATGCTCTCTTTTCTTTGTTTTTGAAATATTTTAAGAGGGTAGATTGCCGAGAGGAAGTGTGACTAAAACCTTGAGTGCATTCCTTCAGGATGAAGTCTTGATGAATCTGAGTGACTGAAAAAGCAGTCTAACCTGTTTATACTAATGCACGTGTTTGCGTCTTATTTTGAGATAATGGAAGATATCTGCTTTAGATTATTAGGAAAAAGGGAATTGGTACCAGATATGTTGTTCAGTTACTTTGGTTTGCAGGCCAAGAATACTGAGGTCTCTGAGACTCCACTGCTGCAGCACACTATGTGTGAAGATAAGAATGTATTTAGAGCAAAAAAGAAGGAATTGTGCAAGAATGCGTATAGTAGGTGTTTGACAGGGTGAGTAATAGGTACTGTATGTCTGAATATTGCAGGAGGGTTTGATGAAGGTTGATGCAGTGTTTCTAGTCCCTCCAGTACCACTAAGAGACACTACCTTGATCTACAGAGATGAAAATTAAGTGCATTATAGATTTTCTCATTTCATGGATGGCTGCTAGCTGGAGGGAGTTCCAGTCTGGGTCTGAGGTGCAAGACATTCTGCTTCCCAGCACAAACATGTAATGGGGTTTCATCACCATTATATGTGATGGGAAGTAATAAAGAAAGAGTGTTCGATACATACTGTTAAAATAGCATGTGAATGCCTCAGCATTGCATCAAGAGGTGTGCAAATAATAACACTCTGTGTAGTTGTGAAGAACTAGCAGGTAGTAACTGGTTACAGAAATAAAGATTCACTGGATCTTGGAAATTGTGTTAATTCTGAATAAAACTTCAAGATACAAGATATAAAAAGGCATGCCAAGCCTGGACGCTGAGCCAGTCAACCTTCTGCATCCTTTGGTTCTGTAGTCTGAGCTTCATCTGTGTTGCAATGAGACAAATATAGTGTGTTTACATCACTGCACAAAGTTATAATTTTTCTTTATTGAACCTGTTATACATTTACAACATATCTATTGGCAGGCTTTTATATTTTTTATTTTTTTTTGGAGGGCAGTGACCTCATCCATGGTGTACTGGCCATGAATATCATATGCTTTACAACTACAAACCGTAATATGGAACTCTCATGAAGATGTCACAGAGGATACCTATACTAATTTACAACTTCTTTTATAATGTTTATTCTTGAACTCTGCTAGAGCAGCTTTTCATGATTCACAGTTTAGAAATGATCCTTGTTTACCTTTTACTAGGCCTCGGCACAGCCTCTCAGTTCATCATCTGCCTGAGACAAGCTATTCATTTCAGCCACCTTCCGCTTCCCTTTATGTCTGTTTCTTCTGATTTTCTCACCTCACTAGAATAGATTTGGACAGCAGTCAGGTTTGGCTTTTGTATTTTAGTTTTAGTTTTTTTTAGTTAGTTTTAAACTCAGTCAGAGAGAGATTAGAGATTTCTGAACTATGACTTTTTGGCTCACAGGAATTGCTTGGCACTCATTGACTGATTATTAGAAACCACGAGCATATATGTAACAGAGCATGCATATGACATATAATTGGTAAAAACATAGCAGACTCATTCAATATGCTCCAGTGGTTACTTTAAGCCTTTAAATGTTACTCTTTTTTTAACCTCATTAAGGCTGCCTTTGGATTCATCTTCCGATGTGCGCCCACCATATTAATCCCCCTATTTTTAGATAATTTGTCAAAAGTTTGATTAAGCTCTCCTTTAGAGTACTTAAGAGTCCTGAAAATGAATCAATATTACACTCAAAATAAGTGATAGTGTTCTCCCCATATGGATTTTAAAAAAAAGAAAACAGTCATTAGATCAACCTGTTTAACTGCTTTTTAAGCTTAAATAGCCAATCAGGTGTCATTGCATGGCAGAAACTCAGTGCATTTATTCATAAGATAAGATAACTTTTGTTAGTCCCATGTGTGGGAAATTTGTTAATGAAGACTGTTCTCCAGGTAAAATGCTTTGAATGCACATTTACACAACTAAATGTCTGTGTTAATGAAAATAAAAAGATTCAACAAATCCCTTTAGCATGTGACACAAACAAAAGGAAGCACTTCTGTGGACAAAGAAACCCCTCCACTTGGTTCGACCTGCTGATGTCATGTGTGACATCATCAGGACTTTAAAATGAGTAAATGCTAGGCAGGCGTTTCCCCACACCTGACCCACATGAAGACTGAAAAGACAGAAGAAAGTAAATATGAACAAATGACTTAATCTGTAACATATTAAAATATAAAGAAACATGTAACTGAGTATTTGCCTTAATTTGCAGAATGTTTGTGGCCCTGTGGTCCCAGCGCAGCTTCACAGGAGGGAAGAGGTGCCACTTCCCAAGCTTGTTCCTGTGAATGGTGAAGAGTCTCTCAGGAAGTGCTTTGAATATTTTGAAGAACTAGATGTGAACTATCACAAGAGGTTTTTCCGTCAGCTTGAAATTAGTGACAATGTCATCAAAAGCAAAGAGAACCTTCCCTATGAAGACAGGATCCATGAACTGCTGCATATTTGGGTGGAGAAAGAAGGTAAAGGAGTGCGCTTAAATGACCTGCTGCAGGCTTTGAATACCCTGAACCAAAGGCGAACTGCTGAGACGATCCACCAGAA